TATTTTCCTGATTGTATACTTTGTCTTCATTATCTGACATTCTTTCTTCCAAGTGATCTAGTCTGTTGGTTATGCTTTCTATTGAGTTTTTAATTTGGTTTATTGTTTCCTTCATTTCAAGGATTTCTGATTTTTTTTTCAGAGTCTCTCTTTCTTGAAATAGTCTTTTGCTACCTATATTTGCTCTTATATCTTTGTTGGAGTGATCAATTGTTGCCTGTTTTTGTTCATTTAGGTTATCCTTTAATTCACAGATCATTTTAATTACGTTTATTCTGAACTCCTTCTCTGACATTTCATCAACTTCACTGTCCATGGGCTCTGTTATTACTTGTACCTCACCTTGATGTTGGGCTTCCAGACCCTGAAGCTGTGCCTCAGTGTGTGCTAGTGAAACTAAAGGTGGTGGTGGCAATAGCAGAGGTAACTCAAGATAGCAGTGGAAGTGCCCCAAAATGGATGCAGATCTTTCAGTGATTGGGGCTGAAAGGGTGGGCCTTACGCTGTCTTTGGGATGCCTGCTCCAAGATTCAGCTGCTTCTAGGCCCTGTCTGTTAGCAAAAGGTAAAGGCTACTGTGTGGAGAAGGCTGTGGGGATGTCTGCAGAGTTCCAAGATGGAAGTGGGTTAGGCCTGGCCTGAGGCTGACTTCGGGTGTGTGTGTGTGGCAGACCCAGGCCTACCCTGGGCCTGGGTCCTGCACAGGTCAGTGTAGGAGCATCTGAACCAGGCCAGAGCTTCGGCGGGGGTCCATTGGTCGGAGGAGGCGGTCCTGTGCTCTGGAGGGTGTCTTCTGGTGGTGGAATGGACCTAGGCCTATCCTGGGACTGGGTCCCATGTAGGTGGGTGGAGGTGGATCTAGACCAGGAAGAGAAATGTCATTTCTTGAGTCAGCAGAGGTTTTCTTTTTAAAAAATTAAAACAAAAAAAAAATACCATGATTAAGTTCAAATCACCTTATTTCTACTTGGACATTTAAAAAGAAGAAATAATGTTTGAGTCACAGAGTAGTCCATGTAGTAGGCCTAGGTCCATTCCACCACCAGAAGACACCCTCCAGAGCACAGGACCGCCTCCTCTGACCAATGGACCCCCGCCGAAGCTCTGGCCTGGATCAGATGCTCCTACACTGACCTGTGCAGGACCCAGGCCCAGGGTAGGTCTGGGTCTGCCACACACACACACACACCCGCAGCCAGCCTCAGGCCAGGCCTAACCCACTTCCATCTTGGAACTCTGCAGATATCCCCACAGCCTTCTCCACACAGTGATCTAAAAAAAGCCATCTAGAAATAATTCCAGATAGGTATATTGGTTATATCAAGCTGAAATCACTTGAGTAACTGAAACTGCAAGAAGGGCCATTTGAGCTATCCTTCCCCAGATGCAACAAGCCATAAAGATTCTTTTGGAAGGGATTTGCTTCACGTGCCAAGGCTGGAAAATAGCCTGATCATCAGAGACTGATATTGGGGCTGCAATGAACCTGAGGAAATAAACTCTTTGAAGTAACCCTTATCTTCCACTGTCTTCTACATCACCCCAATATACATAGCATAGTAACATCCTTAGAATTTACTATCCAAGTCCAGACAGACTTGTCCTGTCATTTCTTCACAAATTTATTGCTCTTTGTCCAATAGTATAAAAACATCATGCCTTGGTCATTTATTTGGATTTTACTCTCTTGTAAAGATTCCTGTGTACATGTAAAATTAATAAAACTTTATGCTTTAATTTTGTTAATCAGCTTTTATATTAATTAGTTTCCTAGATTTGGCCTTTAAAAAGCCTACAGAAGAACTAAGGGAGAGAGGAGGGGATTTCTCTCTTCCCTATACCCACAACTGAAAAAAAAGGCATGTGGCTTTCCTACAGGCAAACAAAGTATAACCCCCATGAGGTCCAAGTTTTCTCCAGGTACTAAGAGGAGCCCTAGGACTTGCTCCAGAAATAGATAAAAGGGAAATTAAGAGGTGGTAGCTGGTCAGGATGTAGACAGGCATGTGAGGCCTGCAGTCTTCATGCCTTTCAGGTATGGGTTAAGGGATTAAGGGATAGGCTGACTAAGGGATTATGTCCTGGGCAGATCCAAGCTAATGAGTCTCAGGCTATATCAACTTTGCAAGAAATACTTGAGCAAGTCAGTTATGAGCTACTGAAGATAAGGCCAGAGTGCAAGGAAAGACTTTGAAAAAATTAATTTGCAAGAGATGAATCAGCATTAAATATAAGGAATTATTTTAAAATAATTTATTTAACACTGTGGTTTTACTTATTCATTTGATTATAATAACTTTGGTAACCATACCTTTGGCTAGATGAAATCACCTACAGCCAAGTAAATGCACATCAAACAAATAATGTCTAGTCCTGCCTTCTTTTTCTACAATTCCATACATCCCAATGGGAATTTCCAGCTCAAGATCAAAAAATGATTAAATAGTTGGTGAAGGAGTTTTAAAAAACAATGACTGAGTAATTTTACTTTGTATATACATGCTAGAAAAAAAAGTAAAATAAACAAAAATGTCCTCTTGGTGCTGAAAGTTTGGTGCCAAATCTTCTAAAAAGCAAATAGTCTTGGGAAAATAATTAGCCATTTAATCAGTCACATGTTTCAAAAGTTCATAATGAAGCTGTGTGATCAACAATCATCCTGTATTTGCTCACCATTCTAATGAGATGTCAAACCCAAAGGTTGCATTTTCACAATTCTAAGTCTCTCTTTTAACTTAATGTTTAAGAAAAAATTGTATTTAGAAATGTGAATTTACAGAGAAGAAAACATATGGGATATGCTAAAAGTATTTTACAAGGCATCTGACCAACTAAAACTACTTTTTTTGTTTGTTTTAAGTTCGGAATTTTGTTTATCTTACAGCATATTACAGTGATCTAAGTAGTGTTTCCTTGTTGCATAAATAAGGTGGCCAAGGAAATAGATGTGACCATTTCCAGTTTACCTGGTAAATCAATGTGTGGTTTACCATAATGAAACCTCAACAACAAAGCACAGAATGAAAAGTAAGGACATCAGCTCAGGTCTACCAATAGTGGCTGGAATCTGCAATCAGAGGTAGCTTAGGAGTAATTTGTCTACTTCATTTCACAAAAATTAGCATACAGACACACAACAAAGACTTTCTGCCTTTTGAAAGTCCAATTCACTTGACATGCTTGACTATTTCTCATAAACCTATTGCTCCTACCCATCAGTTTGAGGGAATGGAAGGGGTGTGGCTGCATTAGAAAGCAGGTGTTCTAATGGTCCTTATGAAAAATAATTAGTGTCTTAGGCTTATCATCTCAGAAATGCATTAATAGGTACTTTTCCATACTTGAAGCCAGGAGGATGAGCCCAAATTCTTGGTTCTAGACCACTCAATTCAATATACTGTCCCAGGACAATGACACTTCCCTACAGCACAACACAAGCCACACTTATCAGGTGCTACACAAAATGGCCTAACTTTCTCAGTTTTCTGTTATTGGAAAGAAGGGTCCATGGGATATTTCCATTCTTCCAAATTTCACTGTTGGAAACTAACAAACAATATATTAAAGAAATACCTATATAAGATCTAACACAAGTCCCTCTCATATACATATTCATTTGTCAATTATATCTGTTTCAAAATGCTTTTGCAGCATTACTGTTAAAAACTGATTTAAAAGCTTTGTTAGTCCCTGTATTTAGGTGCTAGTCTCCATACAGCTGAAGGAGGTAGCTCAACCTCTAAGAGCTCTATCCGGAGAATCTTAAGTGCAAATGTGTGCTGAGATGACCAAACAATCCAAGCTTCACTATTCTAATTCTCAATTTGAGAAGAAAATTATCCTACTGCCCAAGACCTGGCAGACTTCCAACTAACTATAGGGAGTACAAGTGGCCCACGACCCAGCTGCTATGCTTTTGAAATCCTCCACATTCTCTCAGAGGCCCTCTCCAAAGAAGACAGCACAGTACAGCTGGCCTCCAATGGATGACTTTGCTGGAGGACTTTGTGATACCTTGCTAACTTTGGCTCACAGAAGATGAGAACACTTACACCAAACATTCTCTCTTTAGTTAGAATAAGACTTTAATCATAGTCTGACAGTTCTCCTAACCTCTCCCAGCTGCTTTCCTATTTCCTTTCATGCAGGTATTTTCCCTAAAAATAACCATGCATTTTAGTCCTATCTTGGCACCTGCCTCCCAGAAGTCTAGACTGATATATTATTCATTCATTTATTGGTCATTCATTCAAGAAATTGAATTTCCATGTTTCTGGCACTTCATTCTAGGCACTGGGGAGAGTGGTGAGCAAGACTAAGAAAACCTGTACATTCATAAAGTCCCCACAAATTATCATAACTGATTTTCTTTCTTCAGCTCCTAATGTGTGCTAAGTATTTATATGCCCCATCTCATTTGTTCTTTACAATAACCCTGAAAATGTTGTTTGTTTCATGAATAAAGAAACTAAGACTTGGAAGAATAAGTTTCCAGGGGCCTCTCTGATAGGGCCAGCTTTTTTACTCCAAAATCTATGCTTTTCATGGATGATGTATATCATCCATTTAGGTAACAGCTCTAAGCAATTTTATTTTCTAGCAATTCTTGTCCATCTGAATAGTTGATTTTACAAAAAGTATGGTTTCATTTCTTTAATATAAATTTATAAGGGCTGGGGGAACAATCTATAAGAGAGGGAAACTGTACTTCAGAGCATTTACAGTCAGTCCTACACTGTTTCATAGTCAGGTCAATGATGATAGCATGTAATCCATTCAGAGATGGTCCCCCACCAGGTGTGAGTTTCCAACTGTGTTCACTATTACGAAGAACATAGAGAGGAAAGAAATGATTGGTTAATCTGTTTTTCATCCTGGTCATGGCCCAATGCTGGCAAGCTGATAGAGAGTGGTCACATACAATCAGAGCTTCTCTTAGAGGCTGGAAAGGCCCACTGCAGGCAGCCAAGCACTCTGATGACAGCTGATGCAAATACATACCATTATGTTCAAGGTCAGCGATGGCCTCTTCTATACTTGAGTCAAAGTCCAGGGAAGGAATAGGCTGAGACTCAGGCAGGTTCTCTGAAGCTGGTTCATCTAATTCCTTATGGGAGGAAATTAATAATTCATCAGAAGTTGACAGAAAGAAATAGGACTACCACAAATGAGATCATATTCTTGTTTAAAAGACTATTTGGAAACAAAAACCTACCAAATCCTCTCCCTTAAACATAATAACTTTTTCAAACTTTAAGATAGTAACTTGGGTTAAGAGAAAAATAGTCCTGAATCAATGAGACAGGTGACCTTGGGCAAAACATTTGACCTTCACAGCCCTCAGGTTTAGGTCCATGACTAGTATGTTAAGCAGGATGCCCAGAGTAAAAAATTAACACTCAGGTTCAGGCAAGTGCAGGCTCCACTGGCAGCTAGGAGTGATGCTTTCTATTTTGCACCCAGGGCACCCCACCTTTGTCATTCCTGTCCTGGATTTTTCTTCATCTCAAAATTAAAAAGCATTGGCTTGAATGACTTCCAGCTTCTTGTCTAGCTTTAAAAACTCCATGATTCTATGAATTTTAATTTCTTAAAAGCAAAATATCTAAGAGAACACTTAGAATTCTTACTTCAAATAAACAAAGGTAAACTTCATAAACATATCAATAAGTATTTCAACAAATCACCTTGTCCTTTTCCCCTCCAGTTTTGAGTGTGTATATGTTTGCCACCTAGAATGGATGGTAAATTGGCCTCTTTTCCTTGATAAATGGCTTTGATGCAGAGCTACTCCAAGAATGTCTTCTTATTAAGAAGGAAATTAAAAGGAAAAAATAATCTTTATGTCTTTTGTTTTCTATTTTGCTGTGCTAGGAAATGAACCCAGGGCCTTCTGCATGCCAGGCAAGCACTCTACCACTGACCCATATTACCATCCTAAACTAATATTAAATAAATACGTAAAAATGAAGCTATGCCACACTGTGATGTAGCACTTGTGAGAATATGGTCATAAAATAGTTTTTAAAAGTCTATTTTCTATACTATATACTTAATTATTTCAGGAAGTACAACTGAATTCCAAATTTCAAAGGATCACTGATGGTACACAGAGAAATTCAAGAACAAAGAGTAGAAATTGCATGAAATGTGATTTTACATGTGCTTTAGCACTTATTTGAAAATAAGTACTTGGACTCTCAAGTGATTTTGATTTGCTAAGGTCCTCTTTTAAGAGAACAAATAGAGTTGTTAAAATTGTTCTTTTAGTATAGAAGGACTTGATCTCATCTTTGATCCCCATTACCATTCCAAGCATGATGGAGACCTGCTCTGACATGCACTTTTCACAGAAACCCAACCTGGGCACCAGTGCAAATATATACCAAAAAGATAAATGGGGCTTATCTTTTATATTATGGTACATAGTTGTTTTTAAGATACCATTCTTTAAGGAAATGGTGCCTAATATCAGTCTACCTACATTCAACTGTGCTTCAAGATTTCAAAGCCCAAATTCAACCAAGCAGAAACTGCCTGCCAAAGTAAAAGATGTTGTCAGTTAGGGTCTGAAAAACAAAGCAAGTGACTCTCTCAAATGCTTCAGAGAATTTTTATAACATGTAACAATGAGTTCATTCCCTCCCATAACTGATTCTCTCCTATGACTGCTTCTGAAATAAAAAAGGGGCTTGCTTCAGCCATTCAAGAGAAAAGGAAAAAGGAATTGAGAAGAGAGTCCCCAATGAGATTAGGAAGAAATTAAGTTGTAAATATGTGTAGAGGCAGGGGAATAAAAGCATTCAAAGAAGGGAGCATTTTCCTCTTCTTCTTTATCACATTTTTCTTTAGCCTCTTGCATCTGATTCATCCATTTTTTTTCTTATATTTTATTTCATCTATCTCAGTTCAACAATGCATGATATTTAAAAAACCTTCAGGTCCCTCTGCAAAATGTTTGACTTTGGTTTTCTTCCTCTTTGTTCAGTGAATATCATTAAACCCATCTCACTCTTTGCCTGTGGATGTGATTAAACTTGCCTCTTCCTTGCCTGGCTGTCTCTCTCCATCTTCCTCCTGGGGTGAACAAGAAAGTCTTCTCTCCATTTGCTCCCCCTTTTCTTCTGTTCCCATTAAGTGATTTTTTTCCTAAAGAGATTATAAGAAGATCTGTTCATTGGAGGTTTTTCCAGGTCTTCCTTCATCTGGAGGTGAACTGCTGCTTTCAGGAGCCCTATTTTCAATCCATAATTAATCAGAGTATGGTCTTGGGCCAGCAGCCTTGGAATTGGCAGAGTGCTTGTTAGAAATGCACTATTCCAGCCACCCCCAACCCCAGAACAAATAAATCAGAACCTGAATTTTAACAAGATCCATAGGCCTCCCAGGTACATTTTGAATTCTGAGAAATGTTACTATAAGCCATAGGAATTTGAGCAAGAGCCAGTTGATTGTGGAGATCAAAGGTCAGAAGGTTTTCCAGAAGAGGAGGTGAAGTTTTGGAAGAGAGAAGATGGGAAGCTAACAATAGGCCAGAGGGAAATGGCTGTTACAAAAGGGAGCAGGGAGCCTGGAAGAGCTGAGCAACCATGCAGGGCTGAACCAGCTGGGAAAAGGACATAATCTGTGAGGAGAATAGATTTAAGACTCTCACATATAAGACTCTCACAGACTGGAGCATTTTCTGCTCCCATCAATACATAAACTAGGACACATGCTTCTGGAAAGCTCAGGCCTAGAGATGCTGATAAGCATTAAACCTTGGAAGATCAATGAATGAACTAAAATCTCTGGCCAGGGCAGCACTGGGCACTTCCCTACCTTTTCCGTTTGCTCATTGCTGATAGACAGAGGATGGAATTGGGAATTCACTGAGGAAATCATGATTTTTATAAAATCTTCTTTTTTCTCAGTTGTTCCAATATCTGGATGTTTTGCCTAGCTCCCATGTTCTGTGGGATAACATATGGATAACAAAATCTCCTGAGATTCTGCCTGCCATATGGTCTCAGAGTTATCTTTAGTCTTCGAGACACCCTGATATATAGGAGGATGGGAGGACAGGAAACCATACAACCTAGTTATAATGCTGATAATATTTATATCAGAAAAAAGAACACAAAATGATTATCTTGAGGGGTCAAAGAAGGAAAGCAAAAAGTAACTTATTAGATAATAACACTAAAGATCATACTTGAGAATATACTTTTATTTGCCATATAGTAACTTCAGAAATAAAGTCATTAGTTCATAAAACAAAATGCAACTAAGTAATAGTTCTCAATTTCCAGTCTTATGGGGAAAGTCTCTTAGAATCAGGGGTCCCTGAGAATTCCAGAAAAAAGCATCGCAGTTTCTGTCCAGAATAAATAGTTTACGCACATTAACGAACAGAATCCTTATAATCCTGCCAGCCCCCCTTGTTTGGATCTATGAAAATGTGCAGTTCTCAGTCTCAGAATCAGGGAAAAAGATCCACATCCACAGGTTTTCCTTACAGAGCCCACAAAGTCTGAGGAAAGGTGCTAGGTTTTTAGAGGGCTTGGATCATTCCACATCATGGTAGCATCAAATAGGAATCTAACCCTGCTGCTGAACCCTGTGTCCTTTCAGCCAACAATTTCTCCACTAACTAGGGTCTATAACCTCATCTCCCAAGTCTTTGGGACCTGCAAAAAGATCCCATAGCTGGCTTTACTTGAGAGGGGTACCAGATGGGTGAAGAAGCAGAGTGGGATTTGGCATGTATGACCAGCATTTCCACAGTATCTGCTAATTGGTCCAGTAAACAGAGGGAGATTGTGAGCTCAGAGGAAGTTTTGCCCCCTATTTGGTATAATTTTGGATTTTCAGAACTCTAAAGCATCTAGAACCCCTAAATATTTGATAAAGGTAGTTCACTAGCAGCTCTCCTCCTCAGAAGGGCAGAAAACAAGTGTTCCTAGGCCCTACCTAGCTGAGAGTGAGCTCTGCTAAGGTTTGAATGTCCCTTGGTTTGGGGCCTCTGATACTACACTACTACAGAATTAGCATCCTCAGGGTTCAAAGGATTCTCCCCACAGCCTCTCGGGGAGGTTGACTCTTCCTGTGAAAGGTAAGAATCTCTTTCACATACAGGATTTTCCATTGAATGAATGAGAAATATCTCCAACCCAAATTGCTTTTACCAGGAGAGCTATGAGTTAGTGTTGATGTTGAGTAACCAAATATGACCTCATAAAGACTACCTTGAGCATCAGAGCCTACCCCAAGGCCTGTGGAGATATTTTCAACCATTAGTGAAAATGGCATTTGCTATTCAAAGATTTAGAATATAGAGGATATGAATTTGGGATCCATGTCATGTAAACCTATAACCCTATTCGTTATCAGATAGCTATGGTGGTTCTTCAGAGTTTGAATGAAGTTATTAACACAATACACATGATATAAGTGGGAGAGAGACAATAAAAAGGGAAAGAATAAAAATAAGAAAGGTCAATGAACTAAAGAGGTAAGACATCTACAACATGGGTGGAATTAAAAATTAGAAATACACATATGTGTTCTAAGATCTAGTTATTTAACCAATCAATTTTGTATTCAGTGCCAATCCTTTATAAAATACATAGTAGGCACTCAATAAATGTGATGGATACATCACCTGATCCACCTCTGTGGATCTTTGAGTTAGTGTTTTCACCAATTGATGGCCTACATTCTAGAATCCTCCCTGGAATTGGAAACTTGGTCATGGTGCTTTTGTTTTCTAACCTGTCCCTTTTCCTATACAACTACCTATATTAACACGTAGAATCTGAAGCAAGAAGGAGTCTTATGTAAAATTTAAGAGATACTTACATGAAGCACATTGGTACTCAGCTGCTGAAAGTTCCGAGATCTTAATTCTTGCATCCGCTTGTTATTCTCTTCATACTTGTCTTCCACAATTTTTCTGCAAATTTAAAGTGAACATACAAAAGTAACTCAAATTTCTAAAACTATGTCTTACCTACAAATATGTATGATCCCTGTTCAGGGATCATGGGCAGACTAGGCTGGTGGGAAGCCAGGTCATCTGGTCTCTCGCTCAGGAAGTAGTATGCTGTGCATAACACTTTTAAACTTTGATTCTCTTTTAAATCATACACAGGGATACTCTGATTCCTTATTCATTCTTAGGAATTCTCAAATGCGCATAAGGAGAAGACAATTCCTCCCTGTGCATCCTGAATATGATGATGGGGGTTTCCACAGTGCCCGACATATACTAACACCATGAAAAATGTTTTCAGGGTAAACCAACACACAAGCCAGGGAAAAAAGAGATACTACATATCAAAGAATTTATGAAAAATATATAGGCATCACTGTGGAAGAAAATTTTCTTCTGTAGACAAATTTTATTTCCTTTGTTTTCTTTATTTGTTTCCAACTGGGACAATTGATTATAATAGATCTGCAACTAGAAGATTTAAGTTCTTATGATAACTTGTGTGTTAATCTATACTTAGATATTTTCTACAAGTCACTGAACATCCTTCTAGTTAAATTTTCTTGTCTGTAAAATGGATATATTTCAACCTTTCTGACAGTAGAGTCATTTTCTTACTAAAAACACGTTCCCTTTTATTCTAGAAACAAAGATCAAAATTCCAATACAATTCATTCATAAAATAAAGATCAAATTTTATGTAAACACTATCACTTTTAAATGTGAAGATATTAGTGCATCATTTGAAAGATTTATGACTTCCATTGGTCTATAAAATAGTTTTAATCTGAATAATTTGTAATATGCCTGTAAATTATTAAATCTGCCATTTTAATCCATTTCTATCAGAGTTTAAGTTTTTCTTTTATCCTCAATCAACGATCTGAATCATGGTACAATGGAGATACTAACATTATAAACAAATTTGAGGTTATGAGTTGATGGAATGGCTCAAGGAATTTATGTGAATATATTTTCCAAGTAAAACCCACACTCGGTGCTATAGTGATTTACAAAAATAAACTAGTATTGGCTCCCAAGAACACACTGTGTACATATCTTCCTAACATTCAGTAACATCACATTGGTAGCCGAAATTGGCCATGGTGGGAGTATTTACAACACAGAAATCAGCAAGCAAGTCAGCTAACTCTAAATCCAGAGCTGGTTGTTAAATGTTTACCGGCACATCACTGCACTTTGATGCAAATCTTTCTCCACATATATTAAAGAAAGCATGTGTTAAGGAAAATAGAGTCTGATAGATTCTTATTTGTGGAATATTCATTCAGAGTACAAGGATATCTCTAAATCATGTTTCAGGTTTGTTTTGTAAACATGATCACAAAGTAAGCAGATATGCTATTTGGAACTTATCTATCCCTCTAGTCCTTGGTTGGGATTTCTAAGTTACCAAAGAGCAAGCGAAGGAAGAAAGAAGAAAAATTAGAGAATTGGAAAACCTTGCAACTGAAAAAAAGCATTTGAGAAATTGAGAGTCCGGGGCTCTTTGATATTCCACTCTTCATACATACATCTTTTTTCAGTTTTAATAAGATTTAATTAACAGATAAAATAGTTTATATTTATAGTATACATCATGATGTTTTGATATATGTATATATTGTTAAAATGATTAGAACAAGTTAATTAACATATACATCACTTCACATACTTTTTTGTGGTGAGAACATTTAAGGTCTATTACTGAGTAATTTTCAAATCTTCAATGTCTTAATTAGTCATTACGATGAACAATAGCTCTCTAGAACTAATTCTTCCTGGCTAACTGCAACTTTGTACCTTTGTCTAAATCTCCTCATCCATGCCCCTAACCCTGTTAATTACCATTTCATTTTCCACCTTCACTAGTTCCATATTTTCAGATTTCATATATATGTGAGATCATGAATATTTGTCTTTCTATGGATGGCTTACTTCACTTAGCCTAATGTCCTCCAGATTCATCCATGTTGGTGCAGTTGATGTGGTTTCCTTCTTTTTAAAAGCTAAAGAGAATCCTGCTGTATGTACAGTCCACATTTCTCTTTGATTCCATCTTTGGGCTACTGTGAATGTTGTTGCAGTGAGCATGGGAATGCAGATCTCTTCAATATTTGATTCCATTTCCTTTGAATATAAACTCAGAAGCAGGTTTGTGAGATCATACAGAAGTTCTATGTTCAAATTTTTAGGGAAACTCCATACTTCTTTCTATAATAACTTTACAAGTTTTCCACGCCCTTCCCGATGCTTGAAATGATACTTTTTCATAAAAATATACTTCTAAACACTTCTTTTAACAGACCAGAACTGACTGCATTTTACTGCCTTCCAAGCTAAAACTTTTCTGCCAGCAAAACCTCTTCTCCCTGTAGATCAGCTAGGTCTCCTGGTAGAAGAAACACAGCAAGCACCTAGGGAATGAGATTAAAATAATAAAGGCTTCTTTTCGGTCTGTTGCTTGGGTATGTATAGAAGATGTCAGTACCAATGAGGTTTCACTCAAGAGACTGACCCTATTTTCATCACTAATACACTCCCTGATTTTCAATCTTTCTCTATACTCAACACTGAAAGCCTAATATAAATTGTACCTAAGACTCAATCATCTTTTGATTGAATGAGTAAATGAATAAACAAATATATAACCATATGCATTTTGGTTTCTTGATATTTTTTTTGTCTTCTCTTCAGTGAATTCCTTCACAGCCCCTGGGAGCAGCACAGGAGGCATAGAGTACCAAAGGAAAGGCAGCTTACTTTAGCTTCCTGGCTTTTTCATCAGCTGCCTGGAGCTTCCTCAGCCGCATCCTTTCTCTAGGTGTCATTTTCTGCACTTCAGATAGTTCCCGAAGAGTCTGGAGGTGTATCTTTTTTTGCCTATAAATCATAAAGATTCCCCACATGCTAACATGCTTAGAAAAATTAAACAAATCTTTTACAGAAGTATCATTACACTACTGAGAAAGCAAAAGCATCTCAAGACAGGCCAGGCAAAAACTAATAAACTTTGGATAGGTAATGAGCCAACCAGGACTGTAGTTAATTGACAATATTTTTCAAATTAGATTTTTGTTTAAAAGAAAATTATGTACTTTCACATTTCTGCTCATTTCATTGCCTATAACTAGTTTTCACAATGGTAAGACCTAAAATTAGGATTGTGGTCATTAGGGAGCAAAAAGACTGTCAGAGTAATTCAGCCATGTGGATAGGTATACAATCTTTGGAGTTAAGCAGGATTCGAATCCCACCTCTACCACTCATTAGCTCAATAGACTTGAATGAGAAATTGAACCTCAATGTTCTCATCTGTAAAGAATGGGCTACAGTAAGTATCATGGGATAATGTATGCGCAAGTATTTATGATGGTATCACAATAGGTGTATTTTGCTGAGTATGACTTATACGAGTGCTTAATCACACAGGTTAACAACTAAACCTGGGTTCATATCATAACCTCCCAGCTTACATTTTATGTACCCTTGGGCAAGTTACTTAACCCATGATATAAAAAAAGTACTACCTACTTCATAGGGTTTTCCTGCCTTTAAATGAGTTCATGTAAATGGATTCTATTGGATACTGAGCTGAGGATATGGTCATTAATCCCCAAAAAGTTGGATAATATTATTACTTAAGAATCTTTTTCTTCAATAAAAGGAATGTGTTCACATTAATCTACTATTGAAAGGCCTACAACCACTTTCCCAATGATAATTGCTTCTGTTCCTGACTTGGTTAGGGATCAACATCAAAGAACACCTTTTATAATCCACTCCTTCCTTAAGAACCACTAAGAGAATTGTAATGAGTTTTGTAGCAGTTCTTATTCCTCTGTAATATCATCCAAACAGAGTCACCAAGCAAAGTTCAAATTCAGGCATGTGTGTGTATATATATATATWTWTTTTTTTCTAAACCCAAACAGATCTCCTTAAAATATAGTCTTAGATCTTGAAAATAAGAGTGACTAATTGAAATCAATATTTCACAACATGAAATGCCCTCCAAATAATTAGATTCTAGCACACTGTTAATTCTAAACAGTGTAAGGCAAAGTGTTTCACAACTGCAGTGCAAAATAATAACTAAAATTAGCTCAATATTTTAAAAATAAGATATCTAGTACTTTCACATTTCCAGTTAATAAAATGAAATTTGAAATTCCAACCTTTCTTGAAAGAATAACTAGAAATTCAACAAAACAAGGTTATTAGAAGCATGCTTAAAAATTTGCCCCCTAAGGCACAATGTACTTCACCTAGAGATCATGCATCACACAAAGACTGGATGCCTTGGTGGATAAGTTTCCCCTAGTTTGCATGTGAGGATGGAGACCACAATGCTGCAGTTAGGAAACCCACAGGACTAGGTGTGAGAGAAATATTGCTGGCTATCTGGCCTTGTAGATCAACCTATTTAGGGCCCCTATTCTCTTTTTTTTAACCTTTATTTTATTTATTTATTTTTATATGGTGCTACGGATGGAACCCAGGGCCTCCCATGTGCTAGGTAAGCACTCTACCACTGAGCCACAACCCCAGCCCCAGGTCTCCTGTTCTCACTTCACTGTCATGTACACTGCTGAAGAGGGACTGTTCTGCTCTGTGTGTCTTTATAATATTAAATATAGTTTGTTTGGCAAAATTATAGATTTAGTCTTTAAAAGCCGTGGTCCCAGGAGTTGTGCAGTGCACTGCATGCACAGTTACACATGGTGATTCTGAAGTAATATAGCATTCTAGACTCCTGCAAGTTATAGCACAAAAAATTTGAATGAGGAAAAAGAGAAGTTAGGGCAGAAAATAATTATAATTCTCTGAAAACACACTTTTCTAGTTCTTATATAAGAAGATACATACTTTAAGGAAGTAAATCTGGCTTATTTTCAATTGTCCCAGAATCCCATATTCTTCTGCCAGTTCACATTAAACAAACAATGGGTGAAAGCCACTCATGCTTATGATGGAAGGCTCATTAGCATAAATGTTACTAAATGCTTGAGAGATTAATTTCTCTATACACTTACAAGGCAGCTGTGGAGCTACCCTGCAGATCTGTAAGCTGTGCAGTGGTTTAAACTTTTATGATTTCAATTTGCTACCACCTGGGGCAAAAAGCTTTGGAATGCTACATTACTGAAGCTCCTTAATTTCCTGGCAAGATTAAGTGAATTCTAGAATGCTCCATGTAGTCAGCTTAGTTCTAATAGATTTTTAAAGACAACTGCATTTAACGTTTATGCTGGATGGACTTTTGAAAAACAAAGCAATTACTTACATGGCATTAATTATCCGGGCAGCCTCCTTCTGACAATCCAAATTCTTGTCTTCCAGAGTTATTTCAGAATATCTACACATCAGGTGCTAAAAAAATTAATAATAATCCTGGTAAACCTAAATTAGATTCCTCTTCAGTAATGAGATGAATGAAAGGACATAAAACTACTAGGTACCTTTTCTGATTTGGGGTATTATTGACTCTGGCAGGGAGCTTGAAAACTAAGTTCATAGTAACTATTTTTCTCTATATAAAGGTTATATAAAATTACATGGTAGCTTATGTGAGAAGACCTACAGGGTCAGGCTCCTGCCTACCTCTCCAACTTTACCTTGTACTACTTGCTCCCCTACTCCTTGTTACCCACTATAAGCAGGCCTGCTCTCAGCTCCAAGAATACTCACTTTCTCCAAATCCCAGCCTGGAATGGACAAATCTACATTCTCAGGCTAAAACTAGGGTTTAACAAATGAGGCACTCACTTTAGGTACAAAATCTAAGTGGGTACCAAAAAACTCTGTAACCAAGAGAAATAATAATTAAATACAATATTATTTTTAAAATCAAAATTAAGTCTTTATATACAAACAGAGAAATGATAAACGGTGGTATAAAGGTATATTAAGAATTTTATGCAAAAAAAATAAGAGAGCTCATGTATAATGGCATAATTTGGTATGAACATACTTTATATACAGAATTACAAAAAATTGTGTTGTGAATGGATAATTATGAATGTAATGCACCCCACTATTGTCATATATGTAAGAAATAAATTTTAAAAAGAAAAAAAATAAGTCCAAAAAGCTATGAAGAATACAATATCAAATATTTAAATAAAGACATGATCCAATACTGAACTTGCCCAACTCTACTTCCTTGCTTTACCCTAATCCTGGTTCTGTTGAATCTGTTGTTTAAACTTTAAATATTCTTCACCAGTGATAATTGGTATTATTTTGGATTTTAGATTATTGCATAAACATATATGATTTATCTTGATTGAGTTTTTGGTGTCCCCTTTAAGTTTGCTCCTGGGTAGGTATCTCACTTGCCTGACCCTAGTCTTGGCAGATTCCCTGAGATCCTTTTTGTTTCTTTGTACATTGATGGCCCTTTTAGCTGGCACTAATTTCCCTTTGATAGAGGACTACCCAGAGCCCAATATGCTTGGCACATAGGGAGAACTGGAGGTGCCCAGGTCCTTAAGACTTCCTCTCCATGTTTTCCTTAGTTTCCTCTGGGAGTATGTGTTTGTGTAAGAACCTTCTCCTCTATGTCCACCTTCCATGAGCACAATTTAATTTAGGGCTGGCTTTGGTACTAGCTGTTCCCTATGATTCAAATTGTTCCTTACATTCCGGCTCCTTCTCCTGTGCTCACTGGTGTTGAAATGGTACCTACCCCTTCTTTGACTACCAAAGCCCCTCCCCACCTGTTACTTTTTGTAGAATCCTGTTCACTTTCTTCCTAATGCTTGTGATCATTTATTTGTGTATTTTTCCTTGGTCACTGGGTTCTCTTACTAGCATTCATGCTTCAAAAGATCAGGAACAATACCCATTCCTTTCATTTTAGCCCCCCCCCCAGTGTCAGCACAGTGTCTGGCACTCAAGAATGCGTATACATCATCACCACCTTTGTTTCCTCTGGATTTAGAACTTGGTCCACTGACTGAAAAGATATGCACATTTTGGAAGGTGGACAACTCTTGTGGTTCCTATTAAATCTTTTCATGAAATCTGAAGAAACCTGCCTTAGGGGTTAGTATTGCAAAAGCCAGAGAAGCTAAAAAAAAAAGAAAAAAAAGCCCTCAGGGAAGAAACCATTTGCTTCTTTCTTACTACCATAGGCAGATCTACTATATCAAATTTTCTAAACCACAGGAAAACAAAATGAGCTCAATAAATAAAAAGTGTGAGTGAGTTACATATAATAAAGGAGTGGAATAATAAATGCTCAAAGAAAATCCCAGACTAACATCATTATTGGTGCATTCTTGTCCTAGTAGGGATATAATTCCAATGTGTTGAGGTAACAACTGTCAGTATAAGAGCTATAGAGTAGATGTTGAGATTAGGCATAAATTGAAAGCCCCAACATCCCATTTCTGGGCACATCTGGGAACTAGTGTTGATGTACAGTTGCAAACAGATTGTCCTGACTACCTTCTTTTTAATCTTGTTCCTCCTTTGTTTCTTAATGCATCTTATTTCCACAGTATATTTTCAAGTCACAGAATGTGTATATAAATGCTAATACCTGTTTCCCAGTATCCCTTTCATTTTAAATACCTGTAGCTGTTCAGCAATGTAAGGGTTTTTTAAAATTTCTAGAGCAGATGGTCTCAATGAAGGATTCTTGTTCAACATGCTGTAATGTTCAAAAAGAAAATTATTTTTCAAGTAAGCTAAAGAATAAGTTCATTTAAACAAAATAATATTTTTTGACAATAGATTTCTTTCCATACCTTTCCATGATGGTGTTTAGTTCCCTTGGATATCTCTCAGGGAGGGAGGGTGTATCGCCCTCAACAATTTTTAAAACAATGGACAAAAAATTGGAGCCAGTGAATGCATGATCCATACAACACATCTCATATAAAATACATGCCAGTGACCTGAAGATAAAAAGAATTTAAATAAGGAATTTCTGCCCTATTCTAAAATGTGCTCATCATCATATAACTTCAGAGGTATTGGGGCACTGGCTGTGAAGTACTAACATACATTTCCGTTGTTTGTTTAAAAATTGCAATTTCAAAGTATTATTTTTCTATCTAAATAAAGTTCCCCCACTACCAAAAAAAAGAAAGAAAGAAAAATAAATTTTTAAAAAGCACAAAAATAAAGGACAACAGTAAGTCTGAATGAGTGCTTTTTCAAAAGGAGAATAAACACACTGACAGCAAGTGCCTGCACAAATTTGGTTGAGTATTAAAAAATTTTTGAATTAGATTCTGTGCAGGAAAAATAAAATAAAGCTAAATATTATCTTCCTAAGGCAGTCTTGTTAATTCTATGCATGCAAAATAAAATTTTAATTTATAAGCCTAACCTTCCATTTCCTGTGTATCCATGCATTTTGATAAGGAAACTAGCATTCCTTATTAGTTTCCTGAACATAATCCATTTTCAAGTATGGTAGGAGAGTAGTTTCTTGCAGCTCACATTAAAATGTATAATTCTCCCTTGGGGAGTATGAGACAATATTAAAATTCTAGATCAATCCAACACTGATTTGGATTAGCCATACCAATCAGCATCCTCTAAACCAGCAGAAAAATCTTTTCAATAGCTCTCCATCATGAAGAAAACTAAGGGGTAAATTCATTCCTGAATTTAGTATAAAGAGATAACTGAGCTGGGTGTGGTGGTGCAAAGCTGTAATTCAAAGTTAGCCCCAGCAACTTATCGAGGCCCTAAGCAACTCAGTGAAACCCTGTCTCTAAATAAAATATAAAAAAGGACTGGGAATGTGGCTCAGTGGTTAAGTGCCCTTGGGCTCAACCCTCGTACAAAAAAAAAAAAAAGAAATAGTGTACTTCTCCTAAATAATAGGTTATTTTTATCTTATACACATTAGGAATTATATAACTGGCTGGGTTTCTCTTTTCCTGTTATTTTATTGAAAGATTAGAAATAAATGTATGATTAACCTTATATAAAGTTGCATTTTATGGAATTTTAAATACTGTATCTAAAATATACAAATATATACATGACTACAATAATTTGTGTTTGCTCATAAAATATGTACATGTATAAGAGAATTCTGGATACATACATTGATAATGTTTTTGTCCCCCAAAATAAAAATAATAACACTATTTTTTTCACTAACTGGTGCACTTTACAAAGCACTTTCATTTACTTCTGAATGGAAATTCAAAACTGCCCAGTGAAATAGAGCTGATATACAATTTTTCTTATTTTATAGATAAGGAAATTGCCTCAGAAAAGTTAAATGACTTGACCAAGTTCATACAGGTGGTAAATTTAAAACTTGACTCTCAAAATAAGGCATTTTTTCTTCCCAAATTCTGTATTATTTTAACTAGAAAGAAGGGGAATGCTAGGAGAAACACAAAACATTGACTTAGAGCACCAAGATCAATGTAAACATAAAAGTAAATTATTTGAAGCTCAATAAATATTGCATTCATCCATAATACTATTAAATTGTATGTGACATGTTAGAATACACTTAGATTTTTTTATAGCCAGAAAAAATTTTTCCTTCAAATAAAGATGAAAGAATGACATTTTTAGACAAGTGAAAATAGATAGTTCACTGCCAGCAGGAAAGTATTAAAAAGTCCTTAGAGGGAATACTTATGTTAAAGAAAAATTATCCCAGACAGAAACCAGTAATGCAAGAGGAAATAAAGAAGACCCAAAAGACTAATTCTGTGAATATGCATAAATGAGTATTAAATCTACAAAATAATATTAACTATAGCTAGTGAGATTTAAAAATTATACAGAATAAAAATTTATAACAAAAATAATGCAAAGGACAAGAGTATAAACAAGAAAATTAAAGTATTTTAAGGTTCTTGAATTACTGAAAAACTGGTTAAAATAATAATTTTTTAACTGAACAACAATAAGTCCAGGATGCAAGTAATATTTCTTAGGGTTATAATTAAAAGAATACAATATTTTTGTTTGTTATATATACATTTATTTATATGTTTATATAACAGACTATTATAAGTTACTAGATGAAAAAAATCAAATTTCAAAAAATTTAAGCCAAAAGAAAGGAAGAAAAGGAAAGAAAAATGAACACAAAAACAAGTGGGACATATATAAAACAATAATAAAATGAAAATAAAAATAAAAGTATAACTACATTAATATAAAATCTTTTCCATTCGAAAAGACTAAGCTTATCAGACTGTATTTAAAAAAAAGTAGACACTGTTCACAAAATAAACCTGGAATACAAGAACACAGAAAGTTGATAGAAAAAGATACATCATGTAAAAAATATTATTAGTTTAGCTATACTGCACAGACAAAGTAGAAATTAAGGCAAGAACCACTACTAAGATTAAGAAATGGACTGATAAAAAAAATCATACCATTAGGAACATATAACAATTTTAATTTGTATATAACCATTAACATTCTGTGTTTTTATTGTGTAGCAACAACTCATAGAATTAAAAGGAAAAATAAATTATTAATCATTGTGATTCATAATCACACATATTTTCAATAAGCTGATGGAACAAGCAGACATAAAAATCAGTAAGCATAGAAAAAAATCTATACAACACAATTATCAAAATTGACAAAATGGCATAAATGCACCCTACAGTAACGAAACTTAAATTCAGGGACACATTAAACATTTTACCAAAACTGAATACATATGGGGTCATAAAACAAGCCTCAACAGATTTCAAGGATCAAAATCTACAGTAAAATTAAGCTAGACATGCATAATGGAAAAATAGAACGTGGGGATGGGGGGACTATAAAATCTCCAACTTATAAATTAGGGAATATACATTTAAATAATCCTTGTTAAGAATCACAAAAGAAATCAGAAAATATTCTTAACTGAATGCTAATGAAGTTATAAAATATCAACAGTCATTGAATGCAGCAAAGGAAAGTACTTACAACAAAGCTGAAAGTATTTAATGCATATATTAGCAGAGAAAAAGGCTTAAATTCTATGATCTAAGTAAACTTGATAATCTAGTAACAGACTAGCAAATCACAGCAAAGAATTTAAATTTTTAAGAAGAGAAGAAATGAATGAAATAAAAATGAGCATAATAAAAACAGAATCAGTAAAGACAAGGAAATTTACTAGACCTCTAGCAAGACTGATTCATAAAACAAGAAGAAAGAAACAGATCAATAATAACAATAATGGAAAAGGGAATGTAACACTGTAGACTCCACATATACTAGAAAGTAGTAGGACGGCATTATAAACATGTTTTCTGCCAATAAATTTGACAATTTGGATTAAATGAACAGTGTTTGAAAAATACAATTTACCAAACTAACACAAGAAGAAATAGAAATTATGAACAGTCCTTTACCTATTAAACATAGAAAAGCTATTATTTAAAATAATGAAATTAGATTGACAGGAGACAGGAAGGTGGCAAATTAGAGCACCTAGCTCTTGCCCAATTTTCTATGAGATACAATTAAAAGAACTGGAGAGCAACTGGATATCTAGGAAGGTGATAGTGAGAGAATACTGAAGTTCAATAATGGACATGCAGAGATTTGGATAGTGGAACAGAGAGTAATAAAATGGAGTGCCCAGCATGAGCAATATGGCAGCAGCAGTGCAGTAGAAGATGGAGGAGTCCCCATGAGCACCACTAATGAAGGATTTGACACCTTGAAGGAAAATGTAGCCTAAACAGAAAATAGACTTGGATCTTCATATCAATACTGGTTATGAATAAGTTCTCTACACTTTCCATGTATTCTCAAGGTGCTATACCACGAAGCCATCTTGATTAGTCTTATCTCAGTTTACTCCTCTAAAGTCAAAGGCCCCTGTATTTTTCTGACTCTTGGTCTCCAGAAATATTGCTGGGCAGATTCAGGAAGCAAATGTCTTAAGAATCAGTTTGGCCACAAACTGAATAAAAATTCAGTAATAATTCAGTAAGACTTTCATGTGGTGGGAACCAGGATTGACACACCCAGGGAACTAAATATGGCTCCTCTTTAAAACTGGCAGTTTATAAAACAAGCTGCAGGAATTGTGGGGAGAGGCGGGTACGGGCACACACCTGCAATTTCCTTCAGGAACTATCTTGGAATACTAGAGTCAAAGGTAGTGGATTGGACAGGGCCCACTTTCTCCTTCCCCCAGTACAAATGGCTGAGACTCCACAGCCTCTCCCTGTATTTGGAGTGTGCAACACAAAAGGTGCTGGGGTCCCTGACACTCTGCAACTTCAATGTCTGCCCCAGTCTCCAAATGCACAGTCCAAATAAATCAGAAGTAAATATTTTCCTGGGCAGTTCTGAGTTCCACTCTTGCTTAATTTGGTGTGCAGGGAAGATAAGAGGTCTTCCAACTGAATTCAACCACAAACCATTCCTGCTGGTCATATGGCAAACACCACAAGGGAAAGAAGTGAAAAAACCTTTTGCTCTCTCCAAAGGGCACTCAGAAGCTCTGATCAGCATAGGTTATTATCATCCACTCTCACATGCACAATTGAGCACCTCAAGAGAGGAAAATTTTATTAATATTTTTGTTACTGTTCTTTTGTTTGTATATATAGTTTCTTTTCTTTATCCACCTTTTTTAAAAACCTTTTTCCTGTTTCCCCCTTTTCTCTTTTCATTTTAATCTCTAAGTTTTTCTTTTTCCATTTTTTCATGATTTCCTTTTTTCTTCCTTTTTATATTGCTCAATATCTTTAGCCATCCATCTCACCTCTGTCAGAATGGTTATTATAAAAAATTATAGCAAGAACATGGAGAAAAAGGAACTTTTATACACTGTTGGTGAGAATATAAATTAATATACCCACCATGTAAAATGATATAAGGGTTCCTCAAAACACTAAAATTAGAACTACCATATGATCTAGATATAATCTACTCCTAGATATTTATCCAA